TGCCCACAACGATCTCAATCCAACACCACATTGTTCATTGAAACGCATGCACCATTGAGTAGCCAAGCAGCACATGATCTCCCCCCTGGAATCATCAGTGGTACGTTCTTAATGGTTGAAGAAGCCGATCCATTGCAACAGAACGATCCGTGGAGCTCGCAGTCGTATCCCATGCCACAGGGACAGCCGACCTCGTACGGACCGACTCGATCGCATTCGTACCAAGGACACATGCCACAGATGCCTCAGATGCCTTCGTTCCAGCCGGCGGCCCCGTCAGTCATGTCATGGCAGGCTCCATCCACAACCACATCATGGACCATCCCTGCGACACCCATGTCAGCACATAATCCATTGGCCCCGAATACAACATTCCGACCTTTTCCATTACGTCCCCAAAGCAATTCGCCCGCCAGTTCTCAACAGAATGATGCATTGCCACAACAACCAGCTGACGCAGGATTTTTACCTCAAGAAGTACAACCAGATCGACAACCAATCCAACCAGATCGACATCAAACTGATCGTCGTGACACGCCAGTGCCCTCAGTCCCGTTGTGGGCCAACATGCCAGAGTTCCAATTCGTCTTGGGCTCAATGCCAATGCCACCACCTGAGTTCGTGCATCCGATTCAGCAGAACGTCGTAAGTTCATTGGATAGGTATCAAAGTCAGATAATCTCAGATATCCATGACACGTCCCTGCTGTTGAACATGGAGCCATCCCAACGACCTCAAGGTGAAGAGTCAATCGTGTCCGTCGATCCAAACCAAGCCGTGTCACTGCAGCCATTTCAGGTAGTTGGACAGACCTTGAATGCATTAGAGCTTGAGCGGAGACAGAAGGAAAGGCGAGATCTTGAATCAAGAGTCCGTGCAGCCCTTCGCACTGTCGAGCCACAGCCTGTTCATGAGATTCCTGTCCCGTCCGCCACTTCTCGTGAGACATCCAACCACTCACGTTTTGATGGTTTTGATGGCTCAGTTGACACCTGCACCATCTGCCAAGAGGAGTTCGCAAATGCAGAGCCGTTAGTTCGTCTTTGCTGCAGGCACCTGTTCCATGAGACTTGTTGGACCGAGTTGCTAGTCCGTGAAGAGCAGCCAGAGTGTCCCACATGCCGAGGAGCCGGCAATGTCATTGCGAACTTCAGGTATGTCAGTGTTGATGCACAGCATACGCCACGCCATCGTGACCCGCCAGAGGAAGAGAGCTTTGGAACACCCGAGCAACAGGCTTGGCCGTGGTGGCTGGATGCATCCGAAGGAGTGTATCATGCTCAAACCCAATTGGCAGGTGGTTCAAGCATCATTGTTGATCCAGGCGCATACACAAACCTGTGTGGCAGGAAGTGGGCAACACGCCAAGCGGAAGCAGCAAGAGAGTACGGCCATAGGTCTTATCAGTCCGACATGCCCAATCCCATGGTGATTCGAGGTGTCGGCAATGGCACGCAGGGCTGCACCAAGTCCACCAATGTCCCGGTGGCTGTCCCTCGTGTGATTCGACCGCAGGACGGGTCAGATCGACCTCTCGCTCCGGGTGCAGGAGAAGCCGTTCGTTTCTCCTTCGAGGCACCAGTTGTTGATGGTCCTGGCGAAGATCTTCCTGCATTGCTTGGCCTGAAGTCCTTGACAGGACGAGGTGCTGTGCTTGAGATGAGGGAAGGCCATGAGCTCCTCACCTTCCCAGGGCCGGAGGGGTATCAGGTCTCGTGGGGCCCCGGCGCGATGCACATCCCGTTGAGTTGCGCGCCGAGCGGTCACCTCGTCTTCAGGACTGATGCCTTCTCCCAACTTCAAGCTGCACATGGAGTTGGCAAGTCCGGAGTCTCCTACAACCTCCTGTCGGAGGTGGAAATTCAGCCATCCGGTGTCTATGTTACTGGCGATCCAAGAGCGACAGCTTCGACCGCGTCTTCGAGTGCACCACCTGATATGACCACGACCCCAAGTGCACCAACTGTCGCGACGCCAATAGCACCGACTGTAGCACCAACACCGGTTCCGCCAACTACAGCACCCATGGCAACAGCACCATCGTCCACAGCAGGTCCAAAGATGGAGTCCGTGGCATCAGAATGCGGATGGCTTTGCGAGGCTTTCGCGAACCACACGGACCTGAAGAGCAGAACTACTCAGGGACTGCTCATCGTGCATCTCAGAAGGCCCTTTTGAGCCTTGCCGCGTGCAACAAGCACTGGCGGTTTCTTTCGGCGGATGTGTCCAAAGCATTCTTGCAGGGTGCTAGCTTTAGTGAAATTCACCAGCTTACAGGTGAACCAGAGAAGCATCTGTCTTTCACGGCGCCGGCAGGGACAGCTAGGCACTTGAGGCAGATCCCAGGCTATGAAGACTTCAACGAGCGCACGGAGTGTTTGATGTGCCTCAAGCCTGGAACTGGTTGTAGGGACGCGCCTAAGGCATTTTCACTAAGACTAGCCCAGATAACCCAAGGTATTTGTGGTTTGAAACCCTGCTCGTATGACCCACAACTCGAAGTATTAATAAGGAATGATGAAGTAGTGATGGTAGTGTCTAAGCACGTAGATGATCTTAAAATTGCTGGTGAGCCAGTTGAAGTTGAAAAGTTCATGAAAGAGATTGAAAAGCATTTCGGAAAACTCACAGTCAACGAAAACAAGTTCATGAATTGTGGCATTAATCATGAACGTGACCACTCCGGAACGATTTCAATGGATCAAAATGAATATATTTCAGCTTTTATCCCGATTAATCCTAAGCACTATCAACACCTGAAGCCGACCGATCAATGCCCACCAACACTACAGGCGCTATACTGGAGCCTTCTAGGGGCTGTAGCCTACACGAGTCTTACGCAAGCTTGGGTGGCCGTATACATTGTAGCACTTCAACGTGTGACACATGCTCCACAAGTGATTCATGTAAAACGGCTTAACAGCTTGACCCGTGAATTGAAGAGAAGGCCACAGAAACTTGTCTATCCAACCATGAAAGCGACAGGAGATTTGTGGTTGTTCTCGGATGCATCCTTCACGAAAGAAGGTGATGCGACCAAGGGTTACAGCATGAAAGGTTCTCTCGTGCTTCGTGAAGGGATTCTTCACGATGGTTCGAAGCGCTTCCACCTGATAGATGCAACCACTCAGTCGCAAAGACTGGTGGTGCGCTCTACGTTTAGTGCTGAATTGTTGGCTCTCACTGGAGCCACGGATCATGCATTCTTGTATTTGGTCACTTTTGAAGAACTCATCCATGGACCCATGAGACCAGAACGACTCCTGAGGATGAGGGAGGAAGGTGGCTTTAAAACTAAACTTGTAATCATGATAGATGCCAAAAGTGTATATCACTCAATCAAAAATTCCAGTGGTAAGTATCCGGCAGAAAAATCTCTCCTAGGCCATATCCATTGGATTAAAGAACTTAAGAGCACAGGCATCATTTCGGCACTTCTTTGGGTGGACACTCGCGATATGCGAGCTGATGGGATGACGAAGGGATCCTGCGACCGCAGAGCCCTGCTTGAGGCCATGTCAGGCCGGTGTTCGCTCGCACACCCTTTCGAATCCTTCTGATCCTCAGAGGGACACGCATTCGTAGGTGCACCTCCAAAGTGAGGGTCCCGCTGAGTGAACTCAGCTCGTGAACGGTGGTGATCTGGGTACGCCTTTGAATACAGTTCCTACCAACTCAACAGAAGCCACCCGACTAGAAGGGTACGTGATCTATGCACATCACACATGTCCCATGGTGGTTCAAGGGCGGACCCGGGTCAACACAAGTTCCAACACAAGACATAATTCATAGCGACAGAAACAAGTGTTCAGCTTTTAGCTTTCGATACGTCGCGTATCGTCGCTCTAGACGGTTTTTCTAGTACCACATCTTTTTGATTCTTTTTGTCTTGCCATATCTACCATGAAAAGCACAAAAAAACAAGGCCCATTCAGCTCACGTCGGGCACCCCATTGTTTGCGATGGCAAGTACTCCAGTGCGGCAACCTTTCAAAGGGATTGCACGCGGTGTCCTCGAAATTTCCTCCACCGACATCGCCTAGTCTTTTTCAATAGTGCTGGTGAGCCTTTGGAGATTACAGAGCGCTTGCCACTTGATTTACGTGATGCTCTATCACAAGTGCAAGCCTGTGCAGACGGTTGGTCAAACGAGTCATTAGATTCATTCCTGAGAAATGGAACGTGATGAGTTTTGTTGAACACGAAGCCAAAGCTGTTCAAAGCTGGCTGATGCTTTGCCAGCGGCATCTTGGCGTCGTGCCACTTTTGACAGCAGTGCTCGACCCATTGGTTTGGTCAAATGAGCAATGCATGCTGTTGCGGGCAAAGGTTGCCTTGCTAGAACCTCGTACAAGACACGGCAGCGAGCACTTTGTGCTGGCACCCAGCTGGTGTTACACCGTGCAACATGCGCAGCCCTACATAGACTACAGGAGGACAACTGGCTCTTCCGCTGAGACTGCAAGCTGCACACAGCTTGGATTGCTAGGACCAGATCCTGTCAGGTTCGGAACCGCTGAGGAAGACGAAGGCTATTTTGCAAAGTTGGGCCAGTTCAAATAGCTGAAAGGTCGGGTGAAGAAGAGAACTTTGTTGATATTTTGACCAATGTAATTCGAGAGGAAAATTCCTTCTAGCCCTCTGGGCATGGACTCTTTTTTTGGCAGATGCTGGATTCCACCGCTTGAAACTTTGCGCGCCTTCAACATCTCAGTGCAGGGAAGTGGGTGTGTGATGGATTTCCGACAACACATGTCGCACTCTTATCACCGTGAGTGATACTGTTTTCAATTGCCGGTACCGGGTCAAGTTGCGAGAGCTCTTTGTTGAAGGAGATGAGGCATTTGACTAGCCAATGCTAATATATGCTAATTATTGCTAATTACTAATTACATACCGACCCATGGCAAGTTTAGATGTCCAGTAATTAAGGGTTGCCGCTCTGAGGTGTTCATCTTCTGGTGGCTGGGCTTTGGGGAGAACATGTGCTTCTTGTTTCAAAGCCTTCTTTGGCTCAGTGTTAGTTTCATTCGGCGCTGGGCCATGGACAGAGGGAGCCAGGGCTGATGCCTGTGGCATTCGGGTCCAGCCACACAGCCCCCTACCCTGGCGCATCTGGTGCATCTGCTCGGTCTCATGCAGACAGCGCTGGTCGTTTTCGCTCTGATTTGCTCGTGGTTGGAAACGATGCGCCACGAGCATCCAGATCCAAGGCCAAGCCGGCGAAGCGGCCAGAAGTCGTGGCCTCAGGGCAAGCTTGGCAAACCCTCAATCATCCTCAATCTGAAATCATGGCATGATGACTTTGACTCCATTCATGCTACTCCCATTCACCTTTGGATTCAAGTGACTCTAGATTCTAAGCACTGTTAAGACCATTTAAGACCTGGAGTCACTGGTAACGGGAACTGAAATGAACTGATACCCATTGCCACTGAAGGCACGCAGAGCCAGTGGAACAGCCTACACAGGAGGAGTTCGGCGGCCGCAGAGCGCTGGGGGAACCGGCAGATCCAGAAATGCCAGCCCTTCCAGCCGGAGGAAATCGCCAGATGCTTCTCCAGATCCATTGGGAAGCCATTTGGTGTTCATATGTGTTGATTCTGAGTCAGAGGTGTGTTTGCTTCTGATTTTTTCTTTGTCTCACTCTTGCTGGTTGCACCGTGTCGGTCAACAAGTGTTCGTTTTTGCAGCTTGGCAACTACTACTGTAGCAGGTGAGTATTTGCCCGACGTGGTACACGTGGTCTTCGCAGACCTTCGAGAATCCGAACAACCGGATGATCTGCATGTGGCGCCAGAAATAATCCTGGCGAACCTGAAGCGATTGCGACTGCGGCACGGGATACGAGTGACTGATGTGCAGGATCTCACGAAGAGCCAGCCTGACGGAAAGCTCACCATTGCGGAATTTCGTCTCTTGTTGCACAAGGCAAGGCTTTGGCGGATTCCGGCTTCGAAGCCGGGAGCCGGCAACGACAGCTTTGAAACACATAAGATGATATGCGGTGTGTGCGTGGGTGGGAGAGAGAGAGAGAGAACGCACATACGCAGAGCATGTTGTAATTACTGTACTCAATTTGGTTGTACGGTTGTACTAGAGATTGTTTTGGGGGTCCGGTGCACCCCTACAGGTTGGTATCAAAGCAGGTGATGAATTTGTTCAGCAAGCGTTTGCACAACTGGACATGGATCGCAACCACAAGATTTCGTGGTTGGAACTGTGGACTGCTCTTGCACCAACACCAACTGACGTTTTGAGGGAAGTGCGGCTGGTCAAGAAGAAGAAACGCCTTACAGTGTCTGAACTGATCCGGCCTTATGATTCCAATTCGGATGATGTGCTGACCGCTGGTGAGTTTCACCGACTTCTTGACGGTTTGGGCTTTGATTTGGATTCTGGGGTGGTCAGAGAGATAGTGCGTCAAATTGATCTGGATGGTGACAGGCAGGTTTCTCACACAGACCTGCAGCATGCCTTGGATCACTTGGGAGGCATGCGGGACCTTGTGTGAATGCCCCACTGAACAACTTCAGAGGTGACAGGGTGGTTCCCGATGCCAGGAGCCCCTAGTAGCGTTCTTGCTCCTAGTAGCGATGCCCTTTGCTACTAGTAGCGTTCTTGTTCCCAGTAGTACGGCCAGGAGCCCCTAGTAGCGTTCTTGCTCCTAGTAGTAAAGTATATAATGTAAACTGAACACTCCAAATTTAATCTATTGATACATGCCTCCAAGCACTGCAGGCAGCCATGCCATGAGCTCCGAAGTTCTAGCCAGCGCCGCAAGCTCGATCCCAAAGCCGGACCGTCGAGGCAAGGGTTCTCCAGGCTCAAAGCGATCGATGAGCTCTCCTGAACTCACCCGCATGCCACTTCGGAGACCTTCTTCTTCACCGTCTGCCAGAGCTTCCCGCGGTTCACCGGTGAGTCCTGGCCAAACACACCTGCAAGGCACCCTGAATGAACTCTTTGATGACCTTGAGCCAGAAGCGTCGCCGGCAGCTGGGCTAACAGCCCTGTCTCCAAATGCTAAACGTCCAATGGTGAGTCCAGAAGCTGCAATGTCAAAGTTGCGACGTTTGCGACTGACAGGCCGCATCTCAGTCAAGGATTTGCACGCCATTGGCGATGCAAATGGCAATGGAACATTGTCAAAGGCCGAGCTCTTTAAAGTTCTGTTGGCAGTGCCTCGGTTTGGTAATTGCCCCATGTGCGGAGTTTGTTCTTCAAGGCAGCAGTAACTTGTTGAGTCTGGGTGCACGATCACTTTTTTGATCTTTTTTGCGTAAAGGTTTTGGTGTGCGATTCGTGTAACACTGAGATTTGTCAAAACAAAGCCCAAGGCTGGAATCAAAGCTGACGATGATCTTACCCAGAAGATATTTGACTTCATCGACCAAGATGGAAACGGAAAAATCACTTTGACAGAACTATGGAATGCCATGCAGCCTTCAGTGTCAGAGGTGTTGAAAGTGTTGCAGGCAGTAAAAGAGAGAAAGAACCTAAGCGTGGAGACATTGGTGAGGCAGTTTGATTCCAATGGGGATGACCGGCTTACATTTCTTGAGTTTCAGAAAATGCTCAATGCCTTGTCTCTTGATTTGGATGAGAGTACTGCCCGAGAAGTCTTTCGGCACCTTGACGTTGATGGCGACAGGCAACTTTCTTTGAGGACACTCAGTCAACTGCAATCTGGCCAGAGGACGTCAAATGAGACACGTCCTAGCAGTCCTAGCGGACATTCTGTGGCAGAAGTCCTGAAAGCGCTTCAGGCCATCAAGGAGGAAAGGAAATTAAGTGTGGAAACGTTGATACGGCTGTTTGATTCCGATGGTGATGACAAGCTCACATATGCTGAGTTTCAGGCATTGCTCGGTACCTTGTCCATTGATGCAGAGGAGAGCGTTGCAAGAGAAGTGTTTGCAAAGCTGGACTTGGATGGAGATGGGCAACTTTCGCTGAATACACTCAATGCGCTACAGTCTGCCCAACCAAGCCAAGGACTCCCACATCAAACGCTTCCAGGGGAGGACTCTGTTGCAGATGTGCTGAAGGTGCTGCAGACCATCCAGGAGAGAAAGAAGGTTAGTGTGGAGGCATTAATTCAGATGTTCGATTCAGACAGTGATGGCAAGCTGACATTCGGGGAGTTTCAGAAAATGCTCTCCGCCCTGCACCTCAACGTTGAGGAGGGCACAGCAAAAGAAGCGTTTGCTAAGCTTGACTTGGATGGAGATGGGCAACTGTCATTGAAGACACTTCGCTCTCTACAATCTTTGCAAGGCACTGGGGTCGGAAGGTTGGCACATGTTGTTGCAGTGCTGGCATGTTGGGGATGTCGAGGTTCACAGGCCATTCACACAGTTAAAGACAAAGATAGGGAGTCAGCCCGTCAAGTTGAGAACAAGAAACCCAACGGACATCAGGCAGTTGCATGTCATCAGCAGGGGTGGTCCTTTTTCATCAAACAAATCGGCTACCGTAAAAGCTCCAGGTTAGTGAATATACCATCGCATTCTTTGATGTTTCCCATGGGTTGTTTACTGGCAGCGAGTTGCATGAGAATCCACCAAACCACCAGCTAGCTCATCAGCTCATCTATATAAAGAGTTTTGGGCTCATAGACTTGGCTGCAAAAGCTACTCATTCACCACTCCCCTTTGGACTCTTTGTGATTGATGTGCAACCAGGACCAGAATCGAACCTGGTGCGGAATTCATTTTTTTGCGCTTGTATAAGACCTTTGGGCCCACCAACCTTCGACACCATCATGAGGAGATCATTCCCACACCATCATCAGCAAGCAGAAAAGTTACCACAAGGTACCACAGGAAGAGGACGCTACTAGGAGCAAAGGGCATCGCTACTAGGAACAAGGACTCTACTAGGGGCTCCTGGCCATACTACTAGGAACAAGAAGCTACTAGTGTTGCAAGACGTTGAAAGGGAAAACTGCAGTTTCGTGACCAATAGGCCTGTCACGAAAATGCGGCCGGCCCCAAACGAGACGTGGGGATGGAGCCCACTCACGGTATGGAGCCCAATAGCTTCCAACTTTGTCAACTTGCAGTCTAGTTATATCCTAGAGAACCAAGAACTCCTAAAAATGTCATACCCTGAAAATACACGAGGTTTTTAATGAAAACACGAGGTTTTTTGACTTCCTCAAAACGATACGATTGCCTACGGGATTCTACGGGTTTTCTACGGGTTTTCTACGGTTTTTATACGGGTTCGAAACTTAGTGCTTTTGGGAAAATGATGTTTTCGACAGAAACACAATGTTTTTAGTCAAGTGGAGCCCAAACACGATGTTTTCCATCAGACACGACAAATTCGTAGGTTTTGGGTTCCATTGGTACTAGTTGCTTCCGCGTTGATTGGAGTATGAGGGACGATGACATACACAACATTGTGATGTTCAATTCGTGCCAGGTCAGGCGCCGGAGAGGCTCCAAGATGGGCCCGCTGCGCCATCTTCAGAGGATGTTCAAGCTCTCGAAGGCCTCAGTGAACACATCACACCGCAGGAGCTGTTCGAAATGCTGCAGAAATGCAATGTGGGTCGTGAAGAAGAGCTTGTTGGCCAAATATTCCGAGTTTTGGACCCGGCTGGCAATGGGCGTGTGGGACGAAGCGACTTACTGCAGAACTTCCACTTCTTTTTTCCCACATACCATCAGCAAACAGAGAGGCCAGGTGGTCCAGCTCTCCGCCCGCCCAGCCCACAGCATTTGCCTTCACTCCCGGGACCCCGTGAAGAGCCACGATCCGCTTCAGGACACCCTTTGGGTGCTCATGCCTGGGAATTGCTGCATCGGATTTATCGACGCCTGGCGTGGCAGGACTCCACGGTGTCAACCCTTGAGCTCATTGAAGAAATACGACGGGATGTGCACGTCCGAAGTGAGAGGCTATTGGACCGACCTGTGGTTGGCATCGATTTCGGACAAGGTCCCAGCATCTCCCTGGATGCTGCTCTTCAACACGTCTCACGACAAGTGTCCCAAAGCCGAGATTTGGAAGTCACAACTTGGGAGCGCTTCAACTGGCTTCTTGTGGAGGCACAGCGCTTTTGTCAGGGAATGCCGTCTCTTGAAGAACGGATTCCAAGCCCTCAGCGCGGCCCGCCCGCAAGCCGATGGTTCCTATCTGTGGGTGCAAGCAGTTTGGTAGGCTGCCCCAATCCAGAGGAGGAGCCTGGAGCTGCAATTGAGCGAGGCCCTCAGTCCAATGCCGTTTTGTTGCACCATATTTGCTCAGTAGTTATGGGTTCTTTGGACCATTTTGGATGTGTGTCGTTTTCAGCATCACCGGTGTTTCTGCTGTTTGCCACCAGTTTGTAAGGTGGATGGCGAATGAAAATGGTTTTGACCGGGACTTGCTCTACCGTTTGTTTGACATGTTCCGGCTCGGTGCAGCTGAAGTGCCCAAGCGCGTCAGCAGGGAAAGGTTCCTACAAGCTGTACAAGCCAGTCCACGTTTGCAAACCGCATTGCTGTCAAGCCCATTGCTTACCGGTGCCGTGATGAAGCCGATGAATTGGGGAGATTTCCTTTGGTACTTGACGCAGCTTGAAGCTGCCAGCATTTCGTGGTCGGACGTGTTGGCCACAGCTTGTTGGTGCAGGCTATTGAGCCTTGGCCTAGCGTCGGGTGATGGGCACCCCAGCCAAATTTCGCCCAGATTGTCATCGGCCGCGAACAGGGCCCGCTTGGAGATGGCCATGCGAAATGCAGGGCCATCCTCCAGTCCAGTGAAGCGCAGCCCGAGCAGTCCAAGCAGATCTGCGGCGACGCTTCCATCCACTGTCTTGCCTGCAATGCAACGTGCACCTCGGCTTGTCCCTCGGGATGTGCAGGATTTGCATGAAGCTGCTTGCGCTTCGCCCCTGGCTGCTGTTGATACGAGCTTTGCACGTGTCACTGGAGCCCAACCAAGAACATCAAAGCATCCTTGGCTGGAGGACTCAGATGATGAGGGTGGCAAGCTTCGACCGCCCCAAGCTCCATTCCCCCCATTCAGGCCACCGCCGGATGGCACACAGAGCAAACGTTTGGGGGTTCGGTTTCAAGCCGCTAAGTCTTGCCCAGCTGCAGAGCGCGAAAAGCTGGAGGCAGAGCTGGCTAGGATTTTGGCAGACTTGCCAGTACAATCCGTGAAGCTGAGAGGAATGAGATCACAAGGCTAATGCAAAGGTTTCCAATAACCTCATATGCCCTCATGTACCATAACAAGACGTAGCAGAAATCACCGGTGGCTACCAAGAGCTGAGCGCGTCCACCAAAGAGTGCGACTCGGGAGGCCGTTCACGACAATCTCGAAAGGTGTGCTCTCCGTGTGATTTGTAGTTGCTCAATGGGTTTTTCGAACATATTTTGTGCTTGGGGTCATGGCGGCCATGCTGAACGCGCTGCTTTTGGAAATCGCATGATCATCTCGCAGACCTTTGCCGGGAATTGATGAAGGGAAAGAAGGCAAGGGACCGGCAGAGACCGCGTGCCCAAGACCCGGGCCACTACCCAAGTGCAAGGTGTTTGCAGTTTCTGGCAGAAACACCGTCTTGAAGGCTTTGTCCATGGATTGCGGAGTGTTCGCTCAATGTCTCAACTGCAACAATTCTTTGCGTTTAGTTTATTCATGAGTGATTAATATATGTTGGCGAGAATTATGTTGAATATGTTCGGCCGTATGGCATGGCCTGCGTCATAATTGAGATGCCTAAGGCCACTGAGGGAGCACCGCTTGTGGCCTTACTTAGTTTTGTTGAGTTGATTGCATCCGGCGAAAGGCTTTCGGTATTTTCAGGTAACCTGAGACCTGAGTAGCTAGTAGATATGGTTCATCTACTGAGGCGCATGGTGCTCGTGGGCCATGTGTTAAATGCATGGCAGCCTTTGACAGGCTGGGGATGCATTGATGTGCAACTTTAATTGCGAAGGACAACAGAACCATCGGGCCAGCTTTCAACATCTTTTAACATGTTCCTAGACATTTGAGGACAACAACGCACCAAGAAAAGGAGCCATACACAATCATACCACAGGCAAGCAGCTCCGAGCGTTTTTCTTCTGCTGGCTAACGCTGAGCAGCCATGTGCTAGGTTGGGAGCTAAGCGATTTGGTGCGAAGCGTTTTCATGACCTCGGCGCATTTTGCTTGGCACAGCTATCACAAAACACCATTTGTTTGTCGTCATGGTCATCGTCGTCGCTATCCTGCTTTCATGATATCCTGCATGTCATGGGCAATCAGAAGGATCGTGGAATAATATTATATAATATTATATATATATTATATAATATCCTGAAAATTCAGGCCTCAATGTAGCTGCATCCTGCTAGGATCTCCGCTCGCGACTGGTGGAGCAGGCCGCATCAAAGGCAAGAGCGTCCGATATGGTCACTGACAGGGCCTCTTGAGACTTACTATCGCTAGGTGATGGTGAACCTCATGAAAATGCGGTTTTCGCTGCTCCGTACTGCCCTGAACACGCTTCCACACAAAAAAATTACAGTCTGATTCCCGACCCACCTTCCAAAGTAGCATTGCTGAGGGGCAGAGGGCTGTCATCGAAGCTCATAGCTGAAACCTTTGAGGCTGACTTGATGCACTTGATGGGCTTGGGGTAGGTGCAGACAGTCCCATTTTCCGCACACAGGCTTCCACCAAAGAAGCGGGCTCAGCAGGAAGAACCGTAGGTGATCCTGAGGCCAGACATGTTGCCTAGCTAGAAATCTGGCTCGTGAATCATGAAGCGCAGGATGATGATTTCATACACAAGTGCATTGTGTTGCCAGGATGGACGACAGCTACAGTCGCTGGCGCTAGGGACCAAGAAGCCCCAAAAGAATGAATGCTATGTGAACAAGCTGAAAGCTTGACCTTCAATACTTCTGCGCTAGAGTTTGCATGAGGGAGGGCTGCAAGTCCGCCAAGCTGTTGAAGAGTGCAATTGCATGCAATTGTGCTTGGACCATGATGACAGGCCTCCATATTCTTTCTTCACAACGCCACCCTATGTGAACGTAGTTGTGTGGCGCTCATTTGCCTGCTGAAGTGCTCAGATAGGTTCAGGTAGCCTGTCAGTATGTGTCGGAACACTTCGATTTGAGGTGTTTGACTCGCATGACCCCAATTGCGATGTGAACTTCGAGTTTGTGGCCCCAGCTCCGATGCGCAGCGAGAAAGTGGTGCATGATCGGCTTCACTGGTGTGAATTAGGTCTCCACCGGTCACAGATCCAACCAAAGTTGGATATCCCGCTGACGGCACAGTGCTCAGTGACTCCGCTGGTGGTATGCGGGACATGTGAGAGCCCTGATCAGGAACGGACTCCTTGCGCCAAGCGCACATGGCATGTGGGTAACTGAGTTTTGTTGCCATGTTGATCACTACAGCATTTTTCGAACGAATTTCATATATTTGACACATTAGATAGGGCATAGAGAATGCGCCGTGATGGAATGGAACGTGAAATAGTTTAACCTAGTGCAGAGTCAAGAAGAAATGATAGGCGGGGTGGCACCAGCGCGCTTTGTTTTCACCACTTCTGACCTTGAAGCCTATGCTGATCCGTGATGCCCTAAGTCTTTGACAATGTTTCTACCTGGTTACCTCTGCTTTGCTGTGCTGCTTGGCACGGCGCGGCAACAAAAGTCTCAGACTGAACCAATGAGGACCGTAGCGGCAAAAATGCAGATTCGGATCACTTGCGCGCAAGCTTTCTTTGTTGAGCCAGTGCCTCAGAACGATCAGGGGAACAAATTGTGAGACCTCTGAAGCTGTCGAGGTCACCGACATGCGAGAATGTCCTGGATGCCACTGGCAATTTTCCTCGGATTGAGGAGTGCCGCTTCAACGAACATGAGGCGCACTTCTTCTTTTGTGGGGGTAGGGGCGGCTTTGCTCAAGATAGCTCAGCATGACATGACTGATCAGGAGTTTGTGTGTTATTTTTTTTTGGTGAGGCGAGGCTCATTTTGCAGACCCGACTGCTGAAGCGTTTGCGACCCAGACCCGGCGCTGCTGGCAGCAAGCCACTTGCAGGACATGTGACACAAGATAGGCACAGGGTCGCAGATTTGACTAGGGTGCTCAAATCAACTCCCATTAAAGCCCTGCTTACTAGGTCCTAGGTGAAATTCAAGCTCTTACAAGTAGCCAGCATTCTTGCATGCATATTGAAGATTTATTTAATAATGTTCGGGATCACCGAGAAACGACCTACTCATTGACCATGAAGCTGCTGATGTTTGGGCCTCAGCTGATGAACATCTAGAGAGAGAGAGAGAGACTGTAACGTATGTATATACCTAGTAGGTACTCACTTGGGATTGTAACTTGCAGTTATATTTTAAACAAAGTATAGAAAGGGCTGACACATGGCTACATGACTGGCCTCACTTCATCACCTTTGAACCAATAGGTTTTTCACTCGCGAATGCAGGCCAGCTGGCCGGATGACAGCCGCAGAAAACAGCTATGTTTTCACAACTGAGTCCGGCGCTTGACGTTCTTCGTGAGATTCTGTATGGAAAATGCGGTTTTACGTTTAGAGTCAAGCAGTTGACCTTCAGGTATGATCCTGACACAGTGATCGAGGGCACAGAGTCTGCCATAGACCTCGGGTACACTGTGTGGAAACCAAGAAGGCTGTAGGATGGGTCACTTGCAGGTCCCATTTCAGCACTGGGCAACAATAGTAGTCTTCAGTTATAACAACAACTCGGTTCACACACGCTAACAATACTTGGCATACAGGAGCTGCGTGGACTCTAAGGTGCCTCATGCAAAGGACCCTGTCTATGGCAATGATTTCTCGCAGCGAGGCCACATGGAACGGCTTCTAGATTTTGGCGCATTGAATGAATAGTATGACAGCGAGGGGCAAAGCGGTTCCTATTCATGCGTGCATTGCCCACAGGCTACATAACAGGATTCTTCTGGCAGCCAACGCTCACCTATACATCGACACCTGATGCTGGGCTGCCAAAGTGTTTGAAAGAGCCGGAGCACTAGTTGAAACACCCGAGGTGGTGACAGTTTTCACCTTTGGCCTCCGGACCTTTGGTACAATGAACACTGACTACAACATCGATATCATTGCCCATCCAACCAATGCTCCGAGCTCAGTCCCTGTCACTGAGCCCACCTGAAATCCACTTTCGGCACAGCGAGGTCTGGAAGATGGGAACACCGGGCACTGATTGTGAGCAGTTCACGCCGGCAGCTCATTGGTCATTGGCACCATGGGGCCTGAGATGTCGACAAAGCTTGCAGAGGCCACCTCACATTGGGACGACTTGCAGACTTCAGCTCGCAGCTCATTGGGCCGTAGCTATGCCTTCCGTCGCCTTCCTTCTATTGGAGAAACACGTCTCCTAAACTCCTTTTTTTCAGATGTGTTCCTTTTCTCTAAGGTCTTTCCAAGGAGCACTGGCATCAGAGCCCGGCACTGAAAATCCTTCACAGAGACTCCATCAAGACAGGTTGATAGAAACAGACCCTTACAGAATAGCATTTGAGGGCGAATGGCTTCCGTTTGGATGTGGGCACGGGCCTCAGCAGCTTCTGTTGCAGTTGCATACTCGACGGGGCGTTTCTTGTCAGAGATCCTTGGTGCCAGGGACCACCCCAATGGAGAACCTGGGAAGTCAAAGCACACCGCAGTTCTCATTGCTAAGCTCTGAGAAACTTTGTGGTGAAGTTTGTGCTGTTTGTGTGCCTTAGATTTGTGCAATGACTGCCACTATCAGGGTCATCAAGAACCCGCCGACGTCGGTGAACATGTGCCCAAGCTTGTCTTTCACGGGCCCCCAGTAGATTGGTCCATTTCTCCCGGCCACGCCCCGGCTCACACTTTTTGCTCATGAATGGAACGCTTTGTGCAAACTGCTCTTCGCGGCCATGCTTTGGCTTGTGAAAAGAAAGGTACTGGACGGCCACTTCATTCAGGATTGATGAGGACCTGATTCAGCCAACAACCCCTGCTGGCCAATATTTCTCATTGAGATGTTCTTCCACGTTTGAGTGGTAGGATCAGCTCCCGCAAGAGCCATTCACGGTTTTCCTTGACAAACCGGTGAACGCGCGGAACTTGAAGGAGCGTCGCTCTTGCAACTAAACTAACAAGAGCGTCGCTCTTGTCACATGTTGAGCTTCTTCGGCTTCCCAGCTTTGAAGTTGTGGGCTGTGAAAGGTTATGGGCACACCCTTTGGACAGATTGCCTCGCCGGGCTCTCGTGTACATGGGTGCTGGGCAATTGTCATAAAAATTTGATGCGGAAGTTCAAGAGTAGATGTGATAAAATACAGTTTGGCGTAATAAATTCAAGAGTGGAACAGCATTTACTTTAATGTGCTATGTTCCAAGATGTTCCAAGGTACGAGCGTGGTGACGTAGATGTGGAACAGTGGGCTCGCTGCCTAGTCTACGCGGCACAGCTGTACACTGTACTGCGAGAACAGCTCTTCATTATGTTGCTCACGTTGTGGGGGTGGGGGAAGGAGATGAATGCCACGTATGCTGTGTAGAAACCTTATATGAGCAATCTCTATTGAAGCGTTCAAGGAGCACAGCAGAGCAGCCCGATTTGCTTTTGTACAGGAGGGTAGCGAAGCGGTGCGCCATGGAACATAGTTGAGTGCCAGGCGGTGACAGTGCCGTGCTTTTCGACATAGAAAACAATGTTTTGGTCATGCAGCTCTCAACGCTGTGGAAAGGAGATGTGCGACTCCAACTGCACAGCCACTGAGCTGAATTTCCAAGCACAATCAAAAGCCGAAGATACTGCAACTGCAGCGAAACCCATGGGACCCATAGTCATACCAGAACTACGCCCAGAGTTCATTTTTGAGAATGGTGAGACATATCAAGGAGAATGGGTGGGAAACGAGCGACATGGGGTGGGCTCTCATCAATGGCCGAATGGTGCCAGATATGATGGCCAATTCAAGAACAATCAAGCTAATGGGCAAGGCATATTTCAATTCCCTAACGGTGGAATCTACGAAGGTCAGTGGAAGGCTGATCGCGCACATGGGCATGGAAGCTACCGTCATTTTGACCGTGCTTCCTATGATGGCCAATGGCGGAATGACAAGCAACATGGAGAAGGTGTCGAATTGTGGCCGGATGGTGCTCGCTTCGAAGGACAGCACCGGGAAGGACAGAAAAGCGGCAAAGGCAAGCTGCAGTGGCCAGATGGTTCCAGCTATGAAGGCGACTTTGAGTCCAATAGCCTGCACGGGGAAGGCATTTACCGTTGGGCCGATGGGAAGGAGTACAGTGGGCAATGGGCCAAAGACCGAATGAGTGGATCTGGGTGTTTCACTTGGCCAGATCGCCGAGTGTACACTGGCCAATATTTGGACAACCAAAAGCATGGCCATGGCATGATGCGCTGGCCTGATGGTAGCCTCTACAATGGCCAATGGTCCAAAGGTCTTCAGCATGGCACAGGCACTCATACTTCAAAGACAGGAGACTGCACCTCTGGGAAGTGGGAATCTGGCAAATTCGTTGGGTAGAGCCACGATTCATGTGGGCAACCTGCAAGTGCTAAGCCATTTGCTAATTACCTCTGCATCTGGAGACATGTTCATGTCGGCGTTTCACCGAAGAGGAAAAAGACGGAGTGCAACATTGAAAGGGGAGAAGTTGCTACGCGTGGCCTTTCGCTCTGAGAAATGCAGAATCGTTTTGAGGTGGTGCTGGAGTTCACGCCGGGCAACACCATCATGTGAGCATGCTCAGCCTCCATCAGACTCCTTGTGTTCAAGACCCGCAGCAATGTTGATTGGCATTCAGACAGGCCCGGTCAAACCATGTCTGGGGTGATCGTGATCCTGCCTCCATCGAGCTTCACCATCGTAGCTAGCGCGGCCCCACAGCTGCTGGACACCCAGAGTCTTGCTATGTTTTGCACTGGAACAAAAATTTTATGTATATATGTGTATATATATATATATCTATATTTGCTTTGAGGCCTTCTTCGGAGTACAATGAGTTGCCTTGCACGTTTGAAGCTCACCATACTGGTTTGACACTGGAATCCAATAGTCATGGGCTGTCATAAGGTCATGGCCTGAGGCCGATCGTTTGGCTGGGCCCACTTCTCAGCATCCTCAGACCTTCACGAACATCGGCTTTGCCACTGGTCGTGTGCAAAGGCGATGGGTGTGTCCTATTGCGGACACCGCGCCCTTCAAAGATACGATCTACGGAGTCAGGCTCAAGGCTTCGACGGGCTGCTGTTGTTTACACCCTTTTTCCGGACGGCAAGGTGTGCGCCAACACCGCCCAAACACCACCCAAAAAGCACAAAAGCACAACTGATCCATTCGTTGAGGTGAAGAATCCAGCAGAGCCGGGTGCGGCAAGATCATGGCGGGCCACAATCTCAGTGCAGGAAAATGTAGAATCTCAGGTTCGGGGGAGGGGGGCATGCCTGGCTGTAATTCTTGTCATCATGCGAGCCTGAGCATTATCAATGTCATGCGCTGGCTGAGATCGAGCTGTGGGAAGAGGATGCTGCAAAGCCGGAAATGCACTCAGAATTGATGTGGTTGGTGGCTGGAGGGCACATCAAGAAGTCAGCCTCGAAGCTTGCTGCAAGTGTTCACTGAGCTTAAGGTTGCTGCGACTCGTGGCATTCGAGGAATGGAAGTGCCTGTCCCCAAGGGAGATGTCAGGACACAATGAAATCTATGAGGCGTTTTTGTACGTGGGACAGATTTTGGAGCGAACAGTGCGACATCAAGCATCATCAGGTCTGGTCCAATGCAGGCGGCACTCTCACAAGAGAACCAGCTGCTGGGAAGCCAGAACCTCGAAAGAGACTGCTGGAGTTGCAGAGACAAGTTGCAAGGAATCACTCGTTGAGATGCCAATTGCGTGCTCATGTTCTTCGGTGCCGACAGGTATCAACACCGTCCGTTTTGACATCATCCCGCAGCAGCCCATTGGCAATGTGCCGAACACCCGCCTTCGGGTTTTGGCCAGGACCATAACAAGTGGACCAGAACAAACAAATAACAAGTTCCGTCACCTTCCCTTTGCACCACTTTGCACTTTGTGTGGACTGCGCGCGGCTAATGCCCCAAGGCTCCACCGGGCTTCGTCATCATCAAGAGATGACAACCCCGCAGTTGTTCAAACGAAGCACCAATGCATTGCACAGCGGTTTGGTAGAGAATCGAAGAATCATTCACTCCTTGCTAACACTCCTTGCTAACGCGCTTCTAGAGCCGCAAAGGTCTGGGATTCCAAAGGATCGAACTCCCTGTATGCAATTGCATAGGCAGGAGTTTTTGCTCACGATGGCTGCATAATACTGCTACACTAAACTTGGTTCTCAGGAAACTGTCGGAACTGTCCACAAACCGGAAGCTGAACCTCCATGTCTAGGTTCTGACTCAAATTCCTTCGAGCTTGTGTTCAGCGAGCCTGGCCCTGGCCTGATGCGGCCAATTTGGATGTGTTTTGCTTTTGGGTGAGTGAGTGAGTATGGAACTTGGAGCTCTTGGTGGACGTGAGGTGCAATCTTGGGAGGCGTTCAGTACTCTTTCCAGCTGCAGGTGCGAAATGATTGTTTGGCCAAAGCATCAAATTTCAGCTGTTCTTGAATTTTGGGGCTTGGCTTGGCGCACCAGTTGCAAAATCCTGTCGACAACATTGCTGACTCGGAGAATGTTTGGTCTTTCGACACACTTCGGCCGGATGGTGTTGCAAGAGAACCTGCCTCAGAAATGCGCTGTGCAGCACTTTGGAGGTCAAAAAGGGTTCTATTGACGCGGATGTTCTCAACTCAGGACACTGCACGCTCTCAGGGATTCTTTCTGTATCCCTACGAGCTGCTTGGCTTCACATTAAGAGAGTTTCTCTTAAAAATTGTTAAATCACTCAAGCCCGATATCCAAGAAATTGATGCATGGCAGCCAGCCACCTTTTTTCACGGTTTGTTGCTTTCCTGACTTCTGAGGTTTTCGTCCTTTGTCGTGGTCCCGCTGATGCGGAAGGCAATTCTCGGCGGTCATGTTTGAACAAAACACTTGGTGGCGATGTACTTGTAGCTTCTTGACATAAGGGTAGGTTCTGACATGTTCTGACTCGTGCCCGAGTGCCTTGTTCCTGTCAGCCTGGGCCTCAAACCATCGTGGTCCGCTTCATCTCACCTTTGTATGCAACTCAGTTCGGATGTTCATGCTGCGCAGTGTCAACAAAGCAGCTTTGTCGAGGCTGATCCCTTTTGATGACTACATTCGAGTTCGGGCACCTGTCGGAGTGGCATGGCACATTGCAGATCTTCAATTCAGCACTCAGGGCGTGCAGGGCCCAGCTTTGGATGAGCAACTTGCATGGCAGTTCCTTGATCTGGGACCCTTAGGGAGCATGGGACACCGGTGCGCAGGAGCTGACACAAGCCAATGAACTGGGTGCCAAAGAACCCAGCGTCGAGTATGAGACCCCGAACGCCTGCCCCTCAGAGGGTGACAGTCACCTCTGAAGCCTTTTGAACATGTTTGAACATCACATCCTCGACTCCACCTTCGGGGTGGTAGCAAAAGGGGTTTTCTCAAAGGTTGGAGGCACAGATCCAAAGCCGAACAGCCGAACAGCACTAAGGAGTTGGTGGTGCAGCTCACTACCACAGCACAAGCGAATTTCGAGCTGGAAGACCCCAGTATGAGTGAGTTGTCTGCCCTGTGAGTGTGGCGTAACTGTTTGAATCTAATTGACCTGTTGACATTGAGGTATGGCATTGCGGCAAGGGCCGAGATCCCGCAAGCTACGCCTTTAGCTCAGTGGCATTTGATTGTTACTAGTAGCGACGATGCCCCTTGTTACTAGTAGCGATGCACCTTGTTACTAGTAGCGATGCCCT